CCCCACCCCCACCCCCAGTTCACGCCTCTCCTTGACAAGCAAAAGACAAACTCCTTCACTGGTATACAATCCCCTCCCCCACCCCTCACATCTCCACCCCTACCCCAAGAACTGCCCCCAAATTTTTAAGTAACATAAGCTAAATAAGTAAAACTTTGAATCAGTCACTTAAAATAATTTCACAGTTGTCCATTTTTATCCCATTGTTATATTTTAGTATTTAACATATTTACCTTCATTTTTAAATTATGAAAGATGTTCATGAAACATAAAAATAAAAGTTTTTTTAATGTGTGCATTACACACAAAACTAACACCCAAGAGTGAGTTTTTGAAAATTCATTATTAAATTAGTAAGAATCCCTGTCAAATTCAAGGAAGGTTCACCACCACTTCTTTGCTCCCAATGTCAAGATTTTTTATTTTCCTTCTATCAGACTATATTTAACTGATCCTTTTCAGTATCAAACTGTAAAAAATGTTAAATACTAACATGAGAAATATTCAAATATTGATAATTTATTTCAAAAACTTTTCAGCTACTGAAATGTGCATTGCAAAAATAAGATGTGTTTGTGAATCTAAAAGCAAAGCAAGGAGGAAGAGAGCTGAATAAATTGAATATGCTGTACACTGTGAAGTAATGCATGGTGGTTTGGGGAAATATTCATTTAGAGCCTAAAATAAAAGAGAAAAAATTTTTTCCTTGCTTCCAGTAAAATGTATAGCCAGAGATTCAAGAGATACTTGTTATAATAATAATAATTATTATTTTGTTTCAGTTAATGTTTATAATAACTAAAGTAGTTGCAAGAAATGAGTCAAGTATTAATTTTATTAGAGATGAATTAAAAAGAAAAAATGTAATGATATTAATATATTATAATACTTTGAAAAGAAAAAAAAAATGGAAAAGAAGCATTTTTTTCTCAGTTTTTCTGTGCACTACTCAAATCTCAAGTTCCTAAATTAAAAATAATGAGTAAACATTTATTAATAACTTCAAATGTCTATCCTATAAAAAAGTAATATTAAGGAAAAATAATTAAATGTATCCAATCATAATTCTAGAAGGTATACAACAACAGTAATTGACAACACTTACTCATTTGTCTATCTCCATAGCTGATGGCTTCTGCCAGAGGACTCCATCCCTGAGCATTTTTCACTTTTACAGGAGCATTGTGAGCCAAAAGTAAATGGGCACATTCTGTAACATAAATTGGAAAGAAAAAACAAACATCATTCACTTCTTAGATTCTAAATATAATAATCATGTAAGAATTCAAGAACTCAAAAAAAATTTAAAACAAAAAAAGGATTCAAGAATTTAAATTTTTAAAAAAAAGAACTCAAATTCAGTAGATATATGAGATCTTGTTCTATGAGACTGAAGTTGTCAATGATCTCATCTTGCTTGGACCCACAATCAGCATCCTCAGTAACAGATGTCAGGAAATCAGGAGACATATTGCACTGGGAAAGTCTGCCATCAAGAACTGCTCAAAATTACTAAGGAGCAATGACATCAGTTTGAAGACTAAGGTACATCTGATCCAGGTCATGATCTTTCCAATCACTTGCTATGCATATGACAGTTGGACAATGAATAAGGATTGACAGACAACAAATTGATGCCTTTGAGATGTGGTGTTAGACTAGAGTACTGAATATCCCATGGACTGCCAAAAGAACAAATTAATGCCTTGGAAAAGTTGTGGCTAGAGTGCTTTTTGGAGGCAAAGATGATAAAGGTCTGTCTCATACACTTGGGACATGTTATTAGGAGGGACTATTCTTTGGAGAAGGCCATGATGCTCAGAAAGGCAGAGTTGGCAAAGGAGAGGAAGACCACATGGAATGACACACTGACTGCCACAATGGGCTTTATATATGTGTCAGGAAGTGTGAGGATGACACAGGATAGGACAGGGTTCAGATCTGTTCACACAGTCACTATGGGTTGTACTCAACTTGAATCGACAACATCTAACAACAATAACAGATAGATAGGCAAATATATTGTGAGCTGATGTTGATGAGACTCTGTAATAATTATATAACTAAATAATAAACTTTCAAATTCCTATTTATCTAAATCAGGTTGATTTTACTCCCTAGATACAAGTATGTAGTCTACAACATGAAAAAATAATGGTTCCCTCTCAACAACAATAAAAAAATTTCCCTAATAATTCTTTCCAAGAGTATTCTGAGAATGTTTCCACATCCTAAAAGAAACCCAATTACCTAAACAGCAATTTACTTCAAAATATATACTATAAAATAAGATCTGAAAATATGCTGACATTGAGTGTCAAATGGAAAATGTATTATACTTTCATTATACATTCAAAAGTGTTTTCATAAAGAAAAAAATATGATTACCAGTGCTGCTTCCCTAAACATTATATTTGAAATTTTAAAATAGTTTACAGAAATACCAGAAGAGGGGGCACTCTGGTGGCCTAGTGGCAAGGAGCTGCAACTACAGTCCCAGAGGCACACAGTTCGAATCCACCAGATGCTCTGCCGGGAAAAGGAGGGACAATCTCCTCCTGTACCAGTCAGATCTGATTTGACGGTACAATCACACAAAAATACAATAAAAGGAAAAAAAAAAAAGAAATACCAGAAAAGGGCAAACATCTGTCTATGTTGTTGTTGTTGTTGTTATGTGCCGCCAAGTAGCCTGCAAATCATAGCAACCCTATGTATAACAACCCTAAACCTTGCTCTATCCAGTCAATTTCACTGTCTCTGACACACCCACCCCCTCCCCATTATCCCAGTCACTGAATCAATCCATCTCATCGAGGGTCTTTCTCTCCTGCGCTGTCCCTCCACTCTCCAAGCATGATGTCCCTCTCCAAGGACTGGTCCCTCCTTGCAACATGTCCAAAGTATGTCAGATGAAACTTTAGATTACTTGCCTCCAAGGAGCAGCCTGATCTCACCCTCTCCGGGACAGACTTGTTTGTTCTCTTAGCAGTCCATGGTATATTCAATACTCTTCTCTAACACCACAGCTCAAAGGCATCAATTCTCCTTCTATCATCCCTAGTCATTGTACAGCTCTCTGATACATAGCAAGTGATTGCAAAGGCCAGGGCCTGTATCAGACTCCCCTTAGTCTCGAGACTGAACTCATTGTTCTTCAGGACTTTGGAGATGTCTCTGCAATGAATAATTTGCAAATACACAAAAGAAATCTAAGATACAGTCCTTTCTAAGTGGTGAGTTAACCTAAACATTGAATTTTTTTTAGCCATTACAGTTAGCCGCTCTGGTCTCCAAGACACATGGAGGCATATGGTCTTGCAAGTCAAGACTTGAGGGAGATGGGAGCAAAACCCTGGTGAGAGTGAGACCCTGGTGGTGAAGAGACTGTGGCATTGCTGTAGAGAAATTGTGGCAAGCTGTAAATAGAGGAGCCTTGAGATAAAGGCCACAGTTCAAGGTTCTGCTGTTCTTTCCTTTGATGATGGAAGGAAAAGATATTTGCTGAACTGAAACATGAGCCTGGAATAATTGAGGAACTGTGTCTTGGAACTTTTGGGCTAAAACCTGGACTTGTATTGTGACATAGTCTTTGTCTCCTCAATTCTCCAACTTACTTCCCTAATAAACTCCCTTCTCAGTATCATAACTATGAGTCTGTGAGTCAACAATGAATAAATGAACCTCTTGCTTCTGGTGGGGCTCCACAGGCACCATGGGGCTGGGCTGCAGACTCTTTATCTGCTTTTTGCTCTAGAGGGGTGAGTGTTAGTCTCACTCTCTTGGCCCTTTCAGAGAGAGACTCATGGCCTTGTGGTCTTATGTCCCATTTTCTGTCTTCAACACAGTAAATTTTGAAACTATTAAAAGTATCTTAAAATTTAAAAAACCTCCTGAAACTAACACTCAGAATTTTTAAATGAAATCATCCTCAATTCATTCATGTAGTTAATCATTCAGTAAATATTTATTTTGTTTAAGTCTAAGGTGCATTTCACTCAAGTCATAGTCCTTTCAAATACCTTCTACGCATCTGAAAGCTGAATGAAATTAATGATGGCATAAGAAGAATTGGTGTCTTTGAGCTATACTGTTGGAGACAAATACTGATTCATTCTATGGAATACTAAAGAAAAAAACAGATCTGTCCTGGACGAAGTACAGCCAGGGTGCTCCTTAGAGGCAAAGATGGTGAAACTTCACTCTATATATTTTGGGCATGTTGTTAGGAAGGGCAAATCATTGGAAAGGTGGAGGATCACAGAACAAGAGGAAGACCTACCACAAGATGAACTGACAAAGTGAAAACGGATGTCAGAGGAGCCTCTCAAAACTGCACTAGACTATAGAGAGGCCAAAACAAAGGAAAGAAATGACAAAGTAAACAAGCTGAACAGAAGATTTCAAGGGGCAGCAACAGAAGTAAAAGCATTTTATAACAAAGTGGGCAAGAGCTGGAGTTAGGAAATAAAAAGGGAAGAACCCCTCTTGCATTTGTCAAGTTGAAAGAACTGAAAAACAAACTGAGGTGCAAAAACTGTAGAAGGCAGTGTGGCACTTTCTCAAAAAGTTGCAAATAGAGTTACCATTTGACCCAGCAATTCCACTACTGGGAATATACTCCAAAGAGACCATAACTGCCACGCAAGCAGACAGATGCACACCCATGTTTATTGCAGCTTTCTTCACAATAGCAAGGAGTTGGAAACAACCCAAGTGCCCATCAACAAAAGGTGTATGGAGAAGCTGTGGTATAGTCACACAATGGAATACTATGCTACATTGAAAAACAAGGAACTCATGCAATATTATTCAAAATGGGTGATCCTGGAAGACATTATGCTGAGTGAAATATCTCTGTCATACAGGGACAAATATTGCACAGAGCCACTGTTGTAAAATAGGACTGACATCGGGGTTGGGGGGAGAATAAGAAAGATGGGATAAATAATGAATACTGCTTTGAAACAGATGAGGATGTGATTAGGGTGGGGTGTTTTTTGTTTTTTTTTTGTGATTAGGTGTTATTGTATGACAGGGGTCCAGAATGAAGGCTGCATAGTGGAGTGGACCTGGGGGGAGGGATTGTAAAATAATGAAAGAATTTTTCTTTTGCTTTTCAAAGCAGGGGGTGGGGGGGTGGCAAGAAGAAAAGTGCAACAATGAATGAATAAAGAAAAAAACTTCAAAAAAACCCTAAACTGAAGCCTCGAGAAAATGGAAGACAGAGTCACTGTACCAAAAAGAAGTAGCTGACACAGAACCATTTAAGAAACTTAGCATATGATCAAGACTTATTGGTAATGAAGTAAGAAGTTCAAGCTGGATTGAAAGCACTGGCAAAAAATAAGGTCCCAGGAATTTATGGAATACCAACTGACATGTTCCAACAAACTGATGCAGTCCTCAACATGCTCAGCAGGTTGTACCAAGAAATCTGAAAGACATCTTCCTGGCCCATTGACTTAAAGAAATCCATGTTTGTGCAACTTAGTTAAGTCCAGCCAAATCCAATTGTCCATAAATAAGTAGCTATGCCAAGATCAGGGAAGTCATGAATTTGTCACATTGTATGTGGTCACATTGATTTTCAGTAGAAAGAAAAAGTCAACCAAAAAAACTAAGAATAAATTGACACAATCACCATGAAACACAGTTTGGCACTTCCTTAAAATGTTGCAGACTGAAGTATCATTCGATCCTGCAATCGCACTACTAGGAATGAATTCTAAGAAAAGAAAGTGTGTTATAAACTGATATACACGCACATGTTTACTGTATCATTATTTACACCATCAAACAGCTGGAAAAAACCCAAGATCTATCAAATGACAACTAGCTAAAGAAACAATGGTACAATTACACAATGTAGTATCATGTATCCTTTTAAAAAAGGCCAATAATATGTGAGATATTATAGAAGAGGGATGATTCTAGAACAAATTACGCTGAGTATCATAAGTCAGTGCCAAAAGAACAACTATGATATAATAAGATCACTCACTATTCTTAAAAGCAAAGGCAATGTTTAGACAAAGATAGAGTCAATCTTAGGGGGTTAACAGGAATGAGAAGAGAGCAAGAAGGGAGTAAAAATTAATAAATGAGTTGGGTAAAGGTAAAGACAATACACAACAAAGAATGGATTAAACACTGTGATTAACCAATCACATTAATTAATTAATGGAAATTAATGTGACAAAATAAAAT